CTACTGTTGCAAGAAAGGGAAGAGGGGGGGGGGGCAGAATCGGGGCTTTTCCGCTACGCTTGCAGCAGGTGGCACGTTGAAATCGTTTGTTAACTGTTCTACGCTGTTGAAGAGCATGAAAACAGGGAGAGTGCTTGCTTTCAGAGTGTACGGCAGCGCAGCGTTGCTATGAAGTACTGTACGGGCAAATATCAACCAGAAAGCACAAGCGGTGGCAGGGCGATGGGCTGTTGTTCTGTCGAGAACGCTACGTGGTACTGCAGAATGAGGTTGATTTTTATGCATTTTTTTGCATTTATGCAGTGCAGAAAACGCATATTGACGAGAGGTTGTGTGTGTGTGTGTGTGTGTGTGTGTGTGTGTCTTTGTGCTCGTCCGTACCGATTTTTCATCTCGAGACCTACAGAAGCCACAGGGCTGAATAACTTTGGGATCTTAATCTACATGCATGTACGGACCCCATCTCCAAGATTAGCGCTTTTACCCGCATGGTACCCACATTCGGGCCGCCAAAATTTTTTCGTGTAATTTGCTAACTCGGGAACCTGAGAAGCTAGAATACTGAAATTTTAAAGGGATGCTCAACGTTCACGTAGGTATTAATGAGCTCAAACTCAGTTCCCGGATTGCGTGTTTCGTGTGTACGGGCCTCGTGGAAGTTTTTTGCGGGTAAGTTGCTAACTCGGCAACCAGGAAAGCTAGAAAGCTGAAATTTTAAAGGGGTGTTTTTAGACAGCCCTGGTGACTACTCTCAATTATTTTAGCTAGTAGCATTTGCCGGAAAAACCAGTGCCGTTAGCGGTAAAAACTTGCGGGGAACTATGCAAAAAACGCACTTTCACACCGGCAGCCTGTGCGCTGGCCATCTATTTATTATCTGAATTGCTGATGCTTGTTTTGCGCTTGCGCATTTTTGGCTGCATTTAGGACGGAGAGGAGATTGCCAAGGCCAATGGTTTTTCAATCAGGCAACTCAGCGAGTTGACAGAGGGTAGCCGTTTGAAGTTGAATGCCTATGAATTGGAAGTGCAAGCTGAGCGATGCCTGGGTTTCTCGCGTAAGCCTTTTCTGTGATTACCGTTCTGCATCTTTTCGTTCCGTCTATGCATTTTCGCCATACGTTTCTTGTTGCTTGCAGCGTTTCCAGCAAATACTGAATCGGAAAATTGTTTAAATTCGAATCCCTCCACTATTGGAGTGGCTGAAAATTGCAGCGGTGCAAAGAAGATCGCCCGGTGCAGTTTCATTTCTCCGATATTTGGACGAGATGATCAGCTGGATCTTGTGCTGGATGAGGTTCCTCTTTTTGGCGTTTCTCTTTAGCTGCTACTGCTGCTGCTTTCAGGCTTGTGATGCAGGAATTTTGAAGTGTGTAGTGCGAAATGAGCTTGAAACACCGTTTCTTGGCAATCATTGCAAACCATGAAAAAATGATGGTATTATTTTGTAGCAAAGCGATGAAAATGATTGTGATCGATGGCGCCGGGTCACCGTCGATGCAAGAATTGCGCGTTATTTACGGCCACATCAAATCGATGGCGTGCATTTCATGTACAAACATTTGAAGGTTTTTGTTTTTTTTTGGACGTACGCTGCAATATCTGATTATCTTCGGGGATGAACTGTTTCTCTGTATTTTATATGTGTTACGAACTAGGAGGCTTTGCTGTGTTACTGAAAGCGTCTTTCCCCTCATTCGGTCGGCGTCTTCGACTTTTTTTGCATATTTTGATGTGTTATTTTCCACGACTTTAATCACACACTTTGTTTCACAGGTGGGGCCCCACCACTGTTCCTTTCTCGTTTCACGTTTGCAGCTTCTGAGTGAAATTGCCCGTGCATCTCTCTCCTTCAGTAGGAATGAATTTTTATATTGAAATTTTCTAAACTGCAATATAATTTGTCACTTCGGTACTCTTCAAACTTAGCATTTACGGTAGAAGTTAGGAGCGCGAAGGTGAGCGTTAGCTTGATCTTTCCGGATTCAGCTGGAAACGAACACATTACCAACGAGTAGAATTGGCAGGACATGATTTCTGCCGATAACTGACTTACCTTCGCCACATTTCTCTTTGCGATACAGTTTTGCGGGTGATGGTGAGCTCTGTCTATTGACTTATTTTGCAGTCCTGCAGAAATCGCTTAATGTGTTGTTGAATTTTGGAAAAAGCTGACAAGCTCTGGCCCAGGACTGCTTAACTTCCAAATGCCGCTGACTTGCTGACCAGGCACCGATCAGAAGGGCATGGATGATGCGGGAACACACATTCACGCCCTTTGTAAATACATAAAACTTCTGCTATCATTCTTGACAGTTTATGCACTTAAGTTTGCCGGAAATTTGATGCATTATTTTTATGGTTTGCTGAAAAGTATGAGCGGCAGAGGCGCATCCAAGCCCCCTTCCCAACGACACAGGCACCAGTGCTGCGAAAGCTCGGATCTAATGCTAAAACTAAAGTAAACCAAAGACTAAAGTAACTCTCTGAGTAGCAGTGTGTTACAACTCTGTTCCTAGTTTTTACATAGTTTCAGATGGAAGAGGGGACTCTCCTCCCTAGTCTCGCCGGCAGGAGTCCATCCTGGATCCGCCTATGATGAGCGGCGCCGTACTTCGATATTGTTAAGGCTACCATTCCTGCAATTCGAATAATCTAGCATCATTTCTCTTGTCAGAAAGTACTTATATTCTTGTTTGTATGAGTGTGGGCACGCGTGTGCATGCGGCTTAGCTCCTCGGAGTTTTTGCTTTCCTCAAAAGGGGGGGGGGTGCTGGTGGTGCTGACTAGAACGGTTCAAAGTTATGAATTAAGCTGAGTGGAGATGCATTAGTCTGTTCTGTAGGATGGCGGTGGTGGAATAATACTTGCCGATGAAATGGGCTTGGGTAAAAGCGTTCAGACAATCTCTCTGATCACTGCACTGCTGAGAAAGCGACTGAACTGCGAGCCGATCATCCGCAAGTGTGTCATCGTTGTCCCAACATCACTGGTAAACAATTGGTACGCGGAATTCATAAAATGGTCACCGCAGTCACGTGCATCTGTATGTTTCTCATCTTACATCTGTTCACCGGTTGATCGTCGTTGTTGAGTGTTCCAAAGGGGTTTTGAAGTGTTACGATCTCGTCTTTATAGCCTTTCTGACCATCTGTGTTGCTGGCACTACAAGCTTTATTTTGCTCAGAAAATATCGGGATTCGTTTGTCACCGTCATTGACATTACGGCTTTTTTTTGTATCCACACACACAGTACAAAGTAATCATTACTCACCAGAAAGTAGACACTGGAACAGTTTTTTCTCAGTGTCCTGGAAAACTGCCAGAAACAGTTGCATTGGGAAAATGGAGTATATCAAATTATAGAGCGTGTTTTTAGCATGTTAAATTAGGTGCTGTTTGATTGCTAGTAGTAGTTTCTAACGATTTGTAACTGTTTTGAGCAGAATGTACATGTGGTTTTTAAAGAAAATTGCAAATTTTGTGGAAGTTTCTGTGTTTTTATTGTGTTTTTTAGGATGAAAAGTTCGTTGAAAATGACGAAATTCGCTTGAAAAACAAATGAGATCACTCATTAGGCGTATTTATTCGATTAATTTGTCTGAGAAACTGGCGCTAAATTAGTGGTAAAAACAAAGGAAACAAAAGCAGGCGTACAAAATTAGAAGATAAGTACCAGAGATGCCAGTGGCGTTGAGTGGATTGTACTGTGTTTTTGCATATGCATTAGCTTACTTGCAGTTATTTGTTGCCATCAAATCAGCAGACGTTGATAAACTAATTGGTTATCCAAAATTATCAACAATCCTCATAATTAGTTATGATCTGCTTGCGCGTGTTATTGAAAAATTTGCCGGCGTATCGATCGAATTGCTGGTCTGCGATGAAGCACATAGGCTTAAAAATCTCAATGGAAGACTCCGGGAACAGGTCTGTTGCTCGTGATCCATTTTCTTTCAACAAAAAGCACTGAAAATTCAAGGGTCATGCGGGATTTATCGTTGCAGATGTACAGATTAAAT